CCATTACGTTTAGATTTTTTTCCCCTTTAAACTCTCAGATACCATTCATTTCCTTTTTACTACCGCTGCTTTGACAACCACTTTTGGCCTCCAATTGCTGATATTTCTGAAGCTGCTACCGAATAAGAAACAAAGCTTTTAGTGAGGTATTTAAAAAAGCAAAAAAACCAAAAAATTTTTTTCAGTCACTTTATTTCCTTTCATAGTCCCTTCTTCTTCTTCTTCTTCTTCTTTTACTCTTCAAAGAGAAGAAAAAGAAAGAGAATGAAAAAAAAAGAGAACATTGATTGACCCTGGTTTCATCCTCCCTATACACAGGTTTTGAACCCATAATATAAACACCAAACCAAACATCAACAACAAAGCACCTACGTAAACGGTATGCTGCTCGAACACCACAGCAACAAATTTTTGGAATTCCTAAAGGAGAACTTAACCTATATAATTTTTAGTGGTAAAAAGAAATGAAAAAAAATTGTGGGTGGCTTTTTTCGTTTTCTACAACCAAAGTAGCCAACAAATCTAGCAGAAAAAAATTTTTTTTTCTATAAACAAATTTCTATAAACAAAAAAAAAAGCTAACAAGTATTTGCCACAGATCCTTCGGCCTTCTGCTTGTAGAGGGTTGCTGATATATGCGGAGCTGCTTACAACCGAACAACGCCTGTTTCATCGGGTCATATGAACACAATCAATCAGCAGATGAGCACCGACAAAACCACACACACACACAGACACGCACACACACACACACACACAGAGTCTCACAGACACAGACAGACACAGTCGCAAACAGAGCAACAAATTTATGCATATACTACCAGTTTTGTCATACAGACTATAAACTTTGTGCCACTACCTATAAAGAACTAAATAAATAAACATAGGTAAATAGATATATGAATTTATAATTATCTATAGTCATCATTTGTTATATACCTTTATGCTTGGACCATTAATTTGATTGCTGTCCATTCTTCAAGTTTTCAGTAAGTTTAGATTAGAAATAGAAAAAAAAAAATAAACGAGTGCGCGCACAACATATCTCTGGTAAAATTCCAAAACTTTTTTTGTGTTATTTTTAAAAAAACACTCACACCTCCAACATAAATGTGGCGAAAAATTTAAAAAATCTAAAAGAAAAAATCTTAAGCTGCGATCCACTATCAACAAAAATACCATGCGAACTCATCAACTATAATAATTGCCGAGCAGAAGAATAGAGTTAAAAAATCAAGGAAAAAAATGCAAGTAAAAACAAAATTTTTAAAATATGCAAAAAAAGGCAAAATAAAAACGTGAAAAACGTGAAAAATTTCTGACGAGTAAAGCATACAGTGAATGAATGAATGAATAAATAAATGGATAAATAAATGAATAAATAAATAAATAAATAGATGAATAAGTGAATAAACAAGTAAATAAATAAGTAAATGAATAAATGAATGAATGAATGGATGAACTGATCGCTGAAGGTTAAGTTCAACAACAGCAAAAAACTTCAGTAATGAGAGAGATGAAACAAACGCCAGCAGCTTCAGTGGCCACAGTAGCATCACATCAGACCACAAAACCCAAGTACGCAGTTGTACACCAAACCTTCTTTGAACAGCAATATCTTCAAAAAATGACTATAATAAGCTCGAAAAAGGAAAAACAAAAAACTATAAACAAAACAAAATTACAGTTGACGTCAAAAAAAAGAAGAAACACTTTGTAGCCATTTTGAACACTAAAAAAAACTATGAACAAGAAAGAAAATTAAATTAAAAAGGAGTACCACTGATGAATAAAAAGAATGAGAAAAAAAGTATGATTAGAAACTTTTCAAAACTGAACACTAATGCCCTTTCTTCCTTTCACTTCCACCTTCTCTTTTTTTCTTTTCAACATAAATTACTGGCTTGTTGTTACTGAGAATAAAAAAAAACAAGAGAATCAAAAGATGAAGTAAAAAGAAAATGAAACAGTTTCAAACACTTGAATAAACAAATAAAATAGCACATGATATAGGTTTAACAGCAGAGAAGAAACTACGAGCGAACGAAGAAAAATATTTATATAAGAAGGGCATTACGAAGGAGAAAAGTGATGATAATGGTGGAAGAAGAATTAGACAAAGTAGAAGAAAAAAACAACAACAACGACAACATATGGTGTTGCCATCGCAGTAATAGTGTCAGCAGTAGCAGCAACAGTTCCCAAAATATATGTATAATTTGATTCTCGTCTTCCACAACAACAACAACGACGATAACGACAGCAACAGCAGCAACAACAACAAGCAACTGACATCATTCTTTCCCGGATCGAATCCGTACCCATCCATTCCCATCTGTCCATCCCGTTTCTATTGATTCTCCTCGCCGAACTTCCTCATTTTTCGCACTCCACTTTATCCTCACATCTTTTTTTTTCTTCCTTCTTTTTTTTTTCTTCTTCTTTTCTCCCCGCCCAGAATCAATAAGTTGAGGAAGCAGCAAAAAACAACAACAACAACAACAACAACAACAACAACAACAACAATAACAACAACAACAACAACAACAATAACTAAATGCGAAAATTCTTCCCAAAAATAAAGACATCACCTAAATACTGCTATCCAAACTGATAAATTACTGCAAAAGTTCAGTGAGTCAAACCTTGTTTTTTTTTTTTTTTTTTGCTGCCGTTGTTGCTGCTGCCTCTTTCAACACTAGTATTCCATCGTTTTTCATTGCTTTATTTTTGCATTTTAAGAAGAATAAAAATTTGGAAAAAACAATAGAAGTTTGCACTGTCTTCATTGCATATGATTGCTTTAAAACGCTATCACAGTTTCTGGAATTACAATTATGGAAATAACGAAGAAATGAGTAGTTAAAAAGGAAACAAAAAACAACAAACATTTTTGTAAGACGTTTTAAATAACACAAAATTTGAAAGCAGATTTTATTTTTTTCTATTTTTTTTGGTAAAACTAAAAATGATACATCGTTCAAAAACTGTTTAAAAAAACAGTCGTTATTCAGTTCAACATAGGTCAACAGAGAATCAAACGATGACTGTCGTTACGGATGATAATAGCGCTTAAAATAGGAACTGGTGAAAATACCAATAATAACATATGATTGATGCACGGTTCACTTTGAAAGTTTATGATGCATAAATACCGAAAGAAAGACAAGGCAACTACGTCACTGTCAGTATAACCATTTGTATAAGTTTAGTTTATTTCCCGAGTGAAAACCATAAAAAATAAAACTGTAACAATTTTTTTGCTTCTGGGTCCACAATATTTTTTCATACGCATTTTTTATGCACTTTTATTTTTTACCGAAACGAAAAAAAAAGTGCATAAAAAAAATTATAACAACATTTTTTTTTTCCACCCCTATTTACAGAACCCACAGCAATAATTTCGATTGACAATCACAACTACTGCATTCTACCGTTAAAACAGTTGGATAAAAAGGTTCAGA